GCCACTAGGACTCGTAGCACCCCCAGAGTCAGCACCCCCAGTCGCAGCACCCCCATAACCAGCACCCCCAGTCGCAGCACCCCCAGAACCAGCACCCCCAGAACCCTCACCCTCTGTCTCAGCACCCCCAGGCTCAGCACCAGCAGTCTCAGCTCCAGATTCCACAGCAGCAGGCTGCGGAGGCGGCGAAGACGGCCGAGGCGGAAAACCAGGGGGGGTCTCCAAGCGTGGAGAGCGGCGAGTGGCCGCCGTGTCGTCAGCGGCGGGGTCACCCCCCTCAGCTGGGCCAGAGGAGTCAGAAGAGATCTCCAAAGGCTGAACTAAGGAGGGTGGGTCTACCTGAGACACACCTGAGGGAGCAGGACCCTGTGGGGGGAGGGGGTCTACCGGGGGGGGGGGCTAATACGAGGAAGAGAGGCGCTAGGGGGACCGGGTGGCACGCGTGCGGGTGTAGCCTGTAGAAATAGACAGACTCGTCAAAGGTGACATCCTGTGAGGAGAAGACTCGACGCGAGCGCGGGTGGTAGAACTGCCACGACGGGGCATCGGTGGGGAAGCCAAGGAAGACGCAGCGGAGAGTGCGAGAGGAGAGCTTGCTCGATTTGGCATTGCGAACAAGGGAGAGCGCGCCCCAGACCCGAAACACCGACGCATCGCCAACCTTCCCCGTCCACCGGAGTGTGGGCGAGGTCTCTGGCTCAGAGACACGGGGCCAGAGGTTGAGCTGATGCGCAGCGTATCAGACCGCAAACGGCCACAGAAAATGGGGAGCAGCCGCATGGATCATGGAGGTACGAGCATCCTCCATGATCAAGCCAATGCGACGCTCAGCAATCCCATTTTGTTGAGGAGAGGCCGGAAGCGTGAACGTCTGGAGGATGCCCTAGTCTCGACAGAACTTCTCAAGGAGGCCAGAAGAAAACTCACCGCCCCTGTCAGAGTGCAGACGCAGGACTGGCAAGTCCTGCCGAAACCTCTCGCGCAGCTGGTGACGAGTAGCACGGATCCAGGGGATCAAATCACCGCTGACGTCCGCCTTGCGCCGCAAGGGGAAGACAGTGGTGTAGCGTGTGTAGTCGTCAACCACCAGCAGGAAGTAGCGCTCCTGGTCCGTTCCACTGACGGGGGCCGGGCCCCACACGTCCATTTGGAGAGTCTGCAGATGAGCAGTGTTCGGAGGAAACTCGGAGCGGCGCGCTGCCGCCCCTCGACGCAGGGAAGGCATGGCGGCGAGCGCGGGAGGGAGGGCAGGGACCTGGGAAGGCCAGAGACAAGGAGACGGGAGTGCATGCAGCGGAGACGCGGCAGCGAGGGGTGATCGAGGCGGTGGTGCCAGAGGAGAGTCTGGTGAGAGAGTACCCGACACGAGCAAGACGCTGCAAGCTGACCAGACGCAGACACCCGACTCGACGCAGCCACCTGACCTGACTCAGCCACCTGTGCAGACGCAGTGGTCAGTGTGTACAGACCGGACCCAGGCTGACGAGTGAATGTAGCAAGGTGACGGCCAGTCCGTGAGCACGTACAGATCGCCACACGCTGTCCTCCAGGAATGAAGGTGTCAACCCATACATCCTGGAGAACTGCGTTGCTCAACAAGTTCGTCGAGAACGCAGGGAGGTGGAGACCTAAGAGAGACCCGGAGGGGACTACCGGACACGGGAGGATAGTGGAGGCTCGCGCAACTACTGGGCCCCCAGTGGGGTCAGCGAGTGAGACTGGGACAGGTGCTGCGAGTGGTGTGACTGTGGTGCAATCACGAAAGAAGCAACGTGATGCGCCTGAGTCAAGTGTAAAAGCGTGCAACGCCTCAGCTGAGGCCGGACATGTGGCAGTAGACGCACTAGCACCTAGAGCGTCAGCAGACTCACGAGCACCTAGAGCTGCAGCAGACTCACTAGCACCTGGAGCGGCAGCAGACTCACTAGAACCGAGAGCAGCAGCCTCTACATAACCAGGGACGCATCGCTGAGAAGCACAGTCGCGAAGCCACTGCAGGGAGAAGGTGCCCTGCGGACGCTGCTGCCGCCGCTGTGCAGTACCCATAAAACCAAAACCTCCACCACCAGGACTGCCTCGCTGAATAACCCACTCACGAAGCTGCTGAGGGGTGGGGTTGTCCGGGAGAGGCAGTGACCGCTGCTGTCCACCCCTAGCCGCTGCAACTACTGTGATAGCAGCCATGACAGGCAGTGACGGTCAGTAGCACGTCCAGCACCTCCAGCACCAGCAGCACCTCCAGCACTCCCAGTAGCACCTCGAGCACCTCCAGCACCAGCAGCACCTCCAGCACTCCCTGCAGCACCTCCACCAGCAGCAACAGTAGCACGAGCAGCAGCAGCAGTAGTAGCAGCAGGGCGGCTCGGTGGGGCTGGCGAATGAGGTAGGGCGGCGCGGCTCGGGTGGGGCAGCGCGGCTCGGGCTGGGCGGCGCGGCTCGGCCTGGGTGGCGCGGCTCGGCAGGGCTGGGCGGCGTGGCTGGGCAAGGCAGGGCGCGCCGCGGGCTGCAGGGCAGGGCAGCGCAATGCACGGGCTGCAGGGCAATGGGGCGCGCGCTGGACAGGGCAGCAAGGCGCGCGCTGGGCAGGGCAGCAGGGCGCGACGCGCTAGGCTGCAGCAGGGCGCGACGCGCGGGGCAGCAGGGCACGACGCGTGGGGCAGCAGGGCCCGACGCGCAGGGCAGTAGGGTGCGACGCGCGGGCTGCAGGGCGTGACGCGCGGGCTTCAGCAGGGCGCGACGCGCAGGGCAGTGGGGCGCGCGCTGGGCAGGGCAGCAGGGCGCGACGTGCTGGGCTGCAGGGCAGGGTGGTGCGCGGGCCTAAAGGCAGGGCAGCGCGGCTCGCGAGCTGTAGGGCAGGGCGGCGTGCAGGACTAAGGGCGGGCAGTGCGAGTAGCTGTAGGGCAGCGCGACACTGTGCGAGCAAGGCCGGACAGCGCAAGGGCGCTTCGGGCAGGAACTAGCGGAACTATCGGTGGGCCCTAAAAACCTAACAGGTTTCCTGCTCTAAATACCATATCATAATCAACTGTGCAGGAATGACTAGAAACAGGGCAGTACATGTTTGTATAGGCTAACCCTAATTGGGGTTGTACCCCGTACTGAGTAACCCACTATAGCCTAGCAAGTAGAATTGTATTTTGACAGCATAGGGTGATGTGCTGATTTGCACCTTTTTGAATATCCTTCCTATATCTCATGAACTTTTGTGCACATAACAGAATACGGTGGAGAACAACCATCTCAATCTATGCTGCTGCATGTTGTCGTCGTTGCATGGTTATTGGCTACATGTTCCTTTAAGGTAAATGCAATTTTCACTATACACATAATTGTAATGATGGTGTTACTGAAAACGATGTAGCGCGCATTTGGGATGTAGATGTTGAGTGGTATGTGATGGTGCGAACGGCTCTCTGCAATGTGGTACGAGTTATTTCGGCAGGAAACATGCAGAAGAGCCGCTTCTACGTGGCAACATCGCGTCAACCTGTCACACATCAGATGTTTTTTTTCCGGGGCAGACCGTGCACGTGTTGTGCGAGGTCGCGACAGATTTGCGTGCACAATTTGTGTTTCATACGTTTGTTTCTGCATGCATTGCAGATAAGGACAATAGTTTTGCGAGCATCATTGGTAGAAGAACAATCTGGAAATCCACGTGGCAACCTTACAGCCAATCACTCCGCCGACGATCGAAATTGGTGGGCAGAGGACCAAAGCATGCAGGAGCAATCCAATGTTGTAGTTGTTGATGCAGAACAATGTTTTAACGCGTAGTAAAGCATAGCGCGCCATAACATTTTTCCGTGACGCTGAGAACACGCCCTATTGAGGTAGGAGTCCAGGGTTGATTTCACGAGCAGTGAACCATTTTGTAGCTCATTCTAGGCATTCTCTTCAGTTTCTTCACTCTACGCTAATCTTCTTCCCAGGCTTCTCTCTAGTTCGGTTGCATAGACCAGAGACCATCTATCTCTTTTGCCACGAATTTCGGCAGTTGTAGATTTCGTGCCGGTCGGCCTCACCGTAGAACCTGTGCATAGATCTCCGCCATAGCTTAGCAATGACCAACCTGTTGATTACGGAGGGGTGCGGCGTGCTTGTAAGACTCAGAAAGGCGTCGTACGATTGTTTGTGCACGGGGCAAATAGAGTGGAACGAAGCATTATTAACATACGGGCTTCTGTAAGTATCTTCAGAACCATCTGCTAAACATCAACGCCTCCACTAGCTTTTGGCATCCACGACTTGCCGCCATAGATTTTATCGCAACCTCGCAGGCCTACAAGCAGAAGGGGTTATCGGTTGCTGCTCGACTATCAGATGGTTATCATCCATCTACTCTCTGCGTGAGTGTTTTATTTAGCATGTGCAAAGAATTTACTACAATCCGTTCAACCCTCCTAATGATAATATTTATGTATGACAGAGTTCGTGGGGCCCCCGACGTGACAATCGGCCTTATGGTTCTATTGAACCCTCAAGATTTGCAAGCCCAACAGGGCGGCGACTACCGAACGCGCATCCTTCACTACGACCCAAAGTCTGTTATTCCAGGCCGTCGCCACACCAAGTTTGCTCGAGACGTTTTTGCGTACGTGTGTCTATTCGGTTTCGATAAATATGCCGCACGTGGTATACAACTCTCAATGACCCATCCATCCCTGCAGGTGGCTTGTTGAACAACTCGAGATCGAGTTCACAAGAGGACACATATATAGTGGCGGCCACATGGGAGAGGTGATCCGCGACATGAGAGCTCGTCTCAAAACTTTGGACATAGATGTTGGAGCGTTATATTTTTTCATTTTGAATGTCAACGGCATTAAGTATGAATTGGATTTGTACACGAATACGTCCTTTTCTCCGGTTGTTGTATAACGCAGAATAACAGGGTGCAAGGACAGTATCAGGTGGGCTCGGGCATGCAAGTGACACACCAGTTCAGCAAGCTGCTGGACAAATGGGGGGACCTTATGGTGCTGCAGAACGGAGACAACATGATCAACTTAGGCTTTGGTAAAAATAAGGCCCCGAAAATCTGTTGTCTGCTCGTGACTAGCCGCCGTGCTTTCTTCGACCAGTACGAAGACGAGAATCATGCTTATGGGAATGACGAGGTAGAGACGATAGACGAGAGGGCCGAAGTTGCGGAGGCGAACCAGGAGAGGAGAGAGAGGAGGACCGAGGGGGTGATGGTGAGGGCGGTGCAGAGAGGTGCACGGGAGAGGAGAGAGAGGAGGACCGAGGGGATGATGGTGAGGGCGGTGCAGAGAGGTGCACAAGAGGGGAGAGAGAGGAGGACCGAGGGGATGATGGTGAGGGCGGTGCAGAGAGGTGCACAAGAGGGGAGAGAGAGGAGGACCGAGGGGATGATGGTGAGGGCGGTGCAGAGAGGTGCTCAGGAGGTCGAGAGGCGGAGAGAGAGAGCCGCGGCAGTTGTAGAAGCGGCACCAAGGGTTGCGAAAGTATCCTATTCCCGGAAACCCCGAGCAAAGGGTGCTGTGATGCCTGGCCCGCTAACATGGTCGGCCCGAGTAGACGAACGGGCGAGGAATGGAGGAAGGCAGCTCAGGTTTTCAGAATGTGTTAGAGGACGGTTGGACGTGAGACGGAGACAAAGAGGGAGGGGGCAGGGCCTTTGACAGAAACCGTGCAGGGTGTAGAAGAGAGGGTGCAGACAACGGAGGAGGCAACCGCGGGTGAGGGAGTGGCGAGAGAAGAGGTTGAAGTTCGATTGCCAAGGCTGAAGCGGAAGGCGGACGAATCGAGAGGGAGCAAAGAGGCAGGGACGAAGGAGAAGGAGGATGCGGAAGATAATCGGATGGCGGACGAGGAGGCGACGAGGAAGGCGGCCAAGGCGAAGAGGATGGCGGACAAGGCGAGGAGGGTGGCGGACGAAGAGGCGCAGAAGAAGGGGGACGAGGAGGCGAAGAGTATAGCGGATGAAGAGGTGCAGAGGACGCCGGACCAGGAGTCGCAGATAAATGCGGACGAAGAGGCAAGGAGGCATGTGGAAGTAGACGAGCAGAGGACGATGGACCGAGAGGCGAAGAGGCATGCGGATGAGGAGGCGATGAAAAATGCAGAAGAAGAGGTGCAAAGGAGGGCGGATAAAGATGCGCAGAAGAAGGCGGACGAGGCGTCGAAGAAGAAGGTGGATGAAGAGGAGCAGCAGAAGGCTCACGAGGACGCCCAGAGGAAGGCATACGAGGAGGGGAGGACGAAGGCGGACAAGGAGGCACAGAAGAAGGCGGAGAAGGAGGACGATGATGACTATGTGGTCGAAGTAACTGACGCAGCCAAGTCCAATCTCACCCGACTTCGCATCCTTGGCCTCGCTGTCGCCATTCGTGGTAACCAGCAACTGGTCGAGCCCACCACTGTCCGCCAGGCTCTGCAGGGACCCGACGCCGAGAAGTGGAGAGCAGCCATGGCCGCTGAAGTCGCTGCACTCCAACGACGCTGGAAGATGGTACCACGCCGACATGCAAAGGGAAAAAAAAATCCTAAGCGGAAAATGGGTGTTCATAATCAAAACCCTCGCGGACGGCGCCATCGACACATACAAAGTGCGATGGGTAGTTCGCGGCTCCGAACGAACCCAATTCATCGACTATGACAAGACCTTCGGACGACACACCTCCGTGCGAATTCTCATCTGTGTCGCAGCCGTGAAGCAGCGCCCACTCCGCCAAACCGACGTGTCGAACGCGTTTCTGTATGCAATCGCCGACGCCATTATCTACGTCGAGCAGCCGCACGCTTTTGAGGAAGACAGCGATGCTGTGTGCCTCCTCCAGAAGCCCCTCTATGGGATCAAGCAAGCACCGCGCCTGTGGCAGCAATACCTTCACACCGTACTCATCGAGCTCGAATTCCAGCAGCTGCCTCACGATCAGGGGATATACAGGCTCTAGTCTCGCGGTAACTTCATCTTGCTCGTCGCCTACATGGACGACCTGCTCTACACCGGAGATAACGTGGAGCACCTTGATCGCTTCGAGCACGACATCAAGCAGAAGCTCGAGGTCACAGTTAATCACAACTTCACCTAGTTCCTTTTCTTAACGTAACACAGACGACCGGCAATATCCACCTGTCCGTCGCGAAGTACGCTGAGACGCTCGCCAAGAAATTCGGCATCGCCCCTGTCAGCCTCACCACCCCATTCCGCATTCCTCCACCTAATCACGAACCCGACACCACTCCATTATCCGCCGCTGACCATCGTCTCTACCAGCAGCAGCTCGGGTGCCTTCTCTTTGCCGCCGTCACATGCCGACCGGACCTATCGTATGCCGCTGGCCAGCTCGCCCAGTACCTGCGCCGACCTGAAGGGGAGAATATGGCGGACCTACGATGCGCCCTACAATACTTCATCTCTACCCCCGACGTCGGCCTCACCTACAAAGCGAATCTAACGGCTACTCTGCAGCTTACTGGCTACGTGGATGCTGACCACGCAGGAGACGCTCACAACAGGAGGTCCTGCACGGGATTTATTTTCAAGCTCGAACCTGCGGGAACCATCTCTTGGAACTCACAGAAGCAGGAGCTCATCGCCCTCTCGTCAGCTGAAGCCGAGTTCATCGCAGCAACCGCAGCAGTTCGCGAAGGCCTTTACCTCACGGAGCTCCTACAGGAAACGAAGATGGCAATGAACGGGTCATTTAAGTTACAGTGCGACAACCAGAGCGCGATCAAGATCGCGAACAAACCTGGCTTCGTCAACTGCACGAAACATATCGCCCTCCATTACTTCTTCGTTAAGGACGAAATAGACAAGGGCAAAGTCCAACACACCTACTGCCCAACTGGCAAAATCGCAGCTGACTTTCTAACGAAGAAACTGCTACGTCAGAAGTTTCAGTACTGCGCGTACCTGTGCGAAGTCACAAAGAGGAACCACGTGGCACACCTTCAGGAATGAGGGGGAGTGTTGGGGTAAGCGGAAATTACTTAAGCATTCCCGAAGGTACACCAGTATCGCACCAACTACTACCGAAGCAGCAACAACAGCACTATCGCGTTAGCCCATATAGGGCGCGCAGGTCAAAAGGCACAAGTCAACTGTCGAGACTGTTGACTAACCTGGACCGAACGGTTACCAGCGAAGGAATTGCAAGAGGCGTAACTGTCTCTACATTTACAGTTGGCAACCTGGTAACTGAAGGATCGCTAGCATTGTAGCAAATGTATTACAGTTAATATGGGGATGTACCCCTCAGAGTACATGGCTAGCTAGGATCTTGTGTGTAATGTTTTATCTTCAATAAATCCTTGTCATTTACATTCACTATGCAACAAGGTTTCACCACTACTACTTAAGACGTCCGCTACCAAATCTCTACAGGCAGACCTATCCTATCCAAAGGATCCTTATCCTAACAACGTCGGAGGTATGTTCATGCACGTGTACATCAATTGTGTGTCGCTAATAGCTGTGGTTTCCTTCTACTTATTGATCACACGAAGCTCCTCAATCACCTTTACACGTGTGTTTGACATACATACCCATCCCAACAGGACAATGGATTGCCTGCAGACGAAGCACCCCTGTGCGGAGAGGCCGACCCCAGCTTGGATGTCGGGCTTCCAGGGGACCGCTCTTGGCGGATCATCTACGTCGCGCCATCTTCACTGCCCCACGTGGATCCTCCGGAGGACCATCCGGTTGGGTTGCCGAACATCTCTGAGGCACCTTCCTGGCTTTCCCTCATGGCCTCCACATCCTTTTGGCTGTGTGCCAGCAATGGCTCCGCGGTCGTTGTGCTCGAGGTCACGTCCTTGCTGGCGTCGTGGCTCTGGCGAAGTCGAACATGGATGTTCGCCCGATTTCCATTGGCGAGGTGTTGGTCCGCATTATTTCGCGTGCAGTTTGCCTCCAGTTACGCGACCAGATGGCGAGAGTCTTCCTCGCGCCACAACAGTTTGGAGTGTCAACGGGAGTTGTTGTTGGCCCCGTCCTCGCTTGGGCGGAGCCGACTTCGTGGTCGGGTGTGAGGGGTAAAACCGACCTGCAGCAGTGGGGGAGCTGGTCGACGGGTCTGGTCGACCTGCACGGGGGCCACTGCAAGGGCGCCGACTTTGGGAGAGCGCCAACTTCGGCCTGGTCGACTTGGGAGGTCGACCAGCAGGGGAGCGTCGCCTTGGGCGACGTCGACCAGGGGCAGCCGACTTGGTGTGGTCGGCTGACAGGTGTGCTGGTCGACCTGGAGTTGGTCGACCAGGTTGGTTGTCGACCTAGAGCTGGTCGACCAAGGGTGTGGTCGACTAAAGGTGGTCGTCGACTTGGGAGGTCGACAGACACACAAGGAAGCAGCTGGTCGACGTGGTGGTTGCCCGGTCGACCAGGTTACCTGGGTGACGAGGTTCTGCGGAGGAGTGCGACGGTCGCCCAGGTGGTAGTGGCGAGACCGACCTCGGTGGTGGTATCCCGAGGTCGACATGGCTGATCAGACGCTGTCGTCAGCACGGGGATGATGTGGTGTGTGCGCTGTGCAGGTGACGAGGCACAGCTCCCCAATCACCTGCGAGCACCTGTGAAGCTGGTGCGATGCTGTACCGCGGGGCAACGCTGGCCCGTCGTCGACTTGCTGTGTTGGCACGCCGTCGACCTGCAGCGTTGGCAAGCCGCGACTCTGCACTGCTGGAGCGCGGTCGACCAAGTCGTGCTGGCACGCGGTCGACCATGCTGCGCTGGCAGTCGACCTGCTTGCATCGTAGCTCTGATGTAGTCTAGTCTTGCCATCTTGTCTGGATCATTGTCCTAAACTTTTCCTAGTGGCACTCTCGCCAATTCTCCCCGTGAACTAGCAAGTAGTGTGAGCACTTGGAAACGACTAAGGAACGAACGAACACAGAGATCCCTCCTACCCCGTGCCTAGCCCGTAGTCTAGCTCTCGTTGATAGAGTTATCCCCGCATGGAGTGGGGTGACGTGTGGCACAAATGTCATAATTAGAGGCACCCGCCACGTTCTGGCGGACCACCCGGACTGGGTGGTTCTATAGCTGGACATGGCGAACGCCTTGAACTCATTTCATACCGACACCATGTTCCAGGCTCTGCAGGTTAGTCCCCAGTTTCAGTTCCTCATCCCCTTCATCGGTCTCTTCTACTCGTCACCTTCGGACCTCCACTACAAGACAGGTGGGGAGTGGTTACCATGCACTCGGAACTCGACACTCGTCAGTGAGACCCTCTCAACCCCTTCTTGTATACCTTGACACAATGATTGGCACAATGATTGGCCCAGGAGTTTGTTTTTGTGGAGGGCGATGTTTAGCTCTGGTCGTAGCCGATGACACGTACGTGCTAGGTCCCTCAGGTAGGGTGCTATATCATTTCTCCAAGATCGTGAGGCGCTTGGGCGAGATGGGCCTTGCTGTCCAGTCGCGCAAATGCCTCGTCTATCAGACATAGTCCATTCTGCGCAGGGATGTGGAGGCTTTCACAAGCTTGGGGATTGAGGTCGCATGCCGAGGACTCACAATGGCAGGCGTGCCGGTGGGCACTCATGCGTTTGTGGAGCGCAGCCTCCTCGATCGTCTCGAGAGGATGGGGCGAGTGCTACCTTTGCGTCCGTGTCAGAATAGGAACGAAGGAATGAGTTCAGCGACTGTGGCAAAGGCAGCAAGGTCAGGGAACAGGTACGGCAGCATGAGGCGGCTGAGAGCAGCAATGGCAGGGGAGGAGTAGCGCGCGACAACAGCGTCATACAAGGACTTTGCAGTCTTGTACTGGCCAAAGTGCGCGCGCTCAGCAGACGGCAGGTGACTACGAACAGCAAGACGAGCAACAGCGTCACGAGTAGTCCACTGCGAGCGAACCGTACTGTCAGCAGTGGCAGCAGGTGCAGGAGAGACACCGGACGTGTGATCGAACAGGGAGACTCCGTCCTTGGAGTCGCACTGGAGAAACAGCTGTAGGTCGTCTACCCAAACCTCGAAGTCAACAGCACGACCCTCAGCATCAAAGGTAAGAACAGTAGGACTAGCCATAGCTGCAGAAGCAGCAGTAGCAGCAGAAGCAGCAGTAGCAGCAGAAGCAGCAGGGGCAGGGCAGTGCGGCTCAGTAGGGCGGCGCGGCTCGGTAGGGCGGCGCGGCTAGACTGGGCGGCTAGGCTCGGCTGGGCGGCGCGCCTCGGCTGGGCGGCGCGGCTCGGCTGGGCGGCGCGGCTCGGCAGGGCGGCGCGGCTCGGCTGAGCGACGCGGCTCGGCTGGGCGGCGCGGGTGCTTACCAGGGGCGGGTGCAGGGCAGGGCCGCAGCTGGCGATTAGGTCAGGGCCGCGGTTGGGGCGGCAGCAGGGCAGGGCCGCGACTGGGCGGCGGTAGAGCAGGGCCGCGACTGGGGCGGCTGCAAGGCAGGGTCGCGACGGTGAGGCCGCAACATCGGCTGCAGGTGCGTCAGCGGCAAGGCAGGGCCGCGACCGGTGCTGCAGGCGTGATGGCGGCTGCAGGGTGGGGCGCGACAGTGGGGCCGCGACGGTGGCGGCGATTAGGTCAGGGGCCGCGACTTGGGGCGGCAGGGCAGGGCCGCAACGTAGGGCGGCAGGAGAGGGCCGCGACTGGCGGCAAAGTAGGGCCGCGACGGGCGGCAAGCAGGGCCGCGACGGGCGGCAGGCAGGGTCGCGACTAGCGCGACAGCAGGGCAGAGGCGCGCGACGGCGCAGGA